AATGCTAAAGGAAGCCAGAGAGAAAGGTTGGGTTACCCACAAAAGGAAGCCCATCAGACTCACAGTGGATCTCTCAACAGAAACCCTGCAAGCCAGAAGAGAGTGGGGACCAATATTCAACATCCTTAAAGAAAAAAATTTCCAGCCTAGAATTTCATACCCAAACTAAGTTTCATAAGCAAAGGAGAAAGAAAATCCTTTACAAACAAGCAATTGCTGAGAGATTTTGTCACCTCCAGGCCTGCCTTACAAGAGCTCCTGAAAGAAGCACGAAACAAAGAAAGGAACAACCACTACCAGCCACTCCAAAAATGTACGAAATGGTAAAGAGCATCAACACAATGAAGAAACTGTGTCAACTAACAGGCAAAATAACCAGCTAGCATCAAATTCACACATAACAATATTAACCTTAAATGTAAATGGGCTAAATGCCACAATCAAAAGACACAGACTTGCAAATTGGATAAAAAGTCAAAACCCATTGATGTGCTGTATTCAGGAAACCCATCTCATGTGCAAGGACACACACAGGCTCAAAATAAAGGGATGGAAGAAGATTTACCAAGCAAATGGGGAGCTAAAAAAGCATGAGTTGCACTCCTAGTCTCTGATAAAATAGACTTTAAACCAACAAAGATCAAAGAGACAAAGAAGGGCATTACATAATGGCAAAAGGATCAATGCAACAAGAAGCTTTTACAATCTTCAATATATACGCACCCAATTCAGAAGCACCCAGATACATGAAGCAAGTTCTTAGCGACCTACAAAGAGGCTTAGACTCCCACACAATTATAGTGGGAGACTCTGATACTCCACTGTCAATATTAGACAGATCAACGAGACAGAAAATTAACAAGGATATCCAGGACTTCAACTCAGATCTGGACCAAGCAAATCTAATTAACATCTGCAGAACTCTCCACCCAAAATCCACAGAATATACATTTCTCTCAGCACCACATCACACTTACTCTAAAACTGACCACACAACTGGAAGTAAATCACTTCTCAGCAAATGCAAAAAATGGAAGTCATAACAAACAGTCTCTCAGACCACAGTACAATTAAATTAGAACTCAGGATTAAGAAACTAACTCAGAACTGCACAACTTTATGGAAACCGAACAGCTGGCTCTTGAATGTTGACTGGATGAACAATGAATGGAAGGCAGAAATAAAGATGTTCTTCGAAACCAGTAAGATCAAAGAAACAATGTACCAGAATATTACATTAGTACTGTGTGGACTTGAAGATTTAAAGTGTCTATGAGAGTTCTACATGCAGACTATCACTTTTATTTAAGACCCAGCTATTGCTGATGCAGTTTTTCTCTGCTGAATTGTTCTTCTTCTCAGAACTTATTTCTCACTTCCTATTGATCATCATCTCCATTGCATCATTCATTTTTTAACCACATTAAGTGTGTGCAAACAAAGCAAGCGGACATCAGGCTTAGAGTTCAAGTTTTGATGGTACAGACAGTTTTAGGAAAAATTCATAAGGCTGCCACATTCAGGGAGTTTGTTTTTTTTTTTGTCAATTTTGTTTTGTTTTTCATTTGCAGCCTAGAAGTTAAATCAACCAGTTAGAATGGCGATCATTAAAAAATCTGGAGACAACAGAGTTGGAGAGGATGTGGAGAAATAGGAACACTTTTACACTGTTGGTGGGAGTGTAAATTAGTTCGACCATTGTGGAAGACAGTGTGGCGATTCCTCAAGGACCTAGAAATAGAAATTCCATTTGACACAGCAATCCCATTACTAGGTATATATCCAAAGGATTATAAATAGTTCTACTATAAGGACACATGCACACGAATGTTTGTTGCAGTACTGTTTACAATAGCAAGGACTTGGAACTAACCCAAATGCCCACTGATGATAGACTGGACAGGGAAAATGTGGCACATATACACCATGGAATACTATGCAGCCATCAAAAATGATGAGTTCGTGTCCTTTGTAGGGACATGGATGAACCTAAAAACCATCATTCTCAGCAAACTGACACAAGAACAGAAAATCAAACACCACATGTTCTTGCTCATAGGCAGGTGTTGAACAATGAGAACACATGGACACAGGGAGGGGAGCACTACACACTGGGGTCTGTCGGGAGGAACTAGGGGAGGGACAGTCAGGGGTATGGAGTTGGGGAGGGATAACATGGAGAGAAATGCCAGATATATGTGACTGGGGGATGGAGGCAGCAAACCACATTGCCATGTATGTACCTATGCAACAATCCTGCATGATCTGCATATGTACCTCAGAACCTAAAGTGCAATAAAATATATCTAAAAATAGTAAAATAAGGATATTTGTATATGTAATTATTTTCCATGATAAGAATTACTTCTGAGAGGTGAAATTAATTATTAAATGATACATGTAGTTTATAGCAAAGACTTGGAACCAACCGAAATGTCCATCAGTGAGAGACTGGATAAAGAAAATGTGGTACATATACACCATGGAAAATTATATGCAGCCACAAAAAAGGATGAATTCATGTCCTTTGCAGGGACATGGATGAAGCTGGAAACCATCATTCTCATCAAACTAACCCAGGAACAGAAAACCAAACATCGCATGTTCTCACTCACAAGTGAATGTTAAACAGTGAGAACATATGGACTCAGGGAGGGGACCATCACACACCGTGGCCTGTTGGGGAGTGGGGGGCTAGAGGAGTGATAGCATTACGAGACATACCTAATGTAGATGATGGGTTTATGGGTGCAGCAAATCACCATGGCACATGTATACCTGTGTAACAAACCTGCATGTTCTGCACCTGTATCCCGGAACTCAAAATATAATGGAAAAAAAAGTGGCATCAAACACCAAAACAAAGATTCATGTAGTTTTTTTCTAGATACTTACTGCCAATAAATCACAAAACTTAAGAAACTATTTTAAACAGTACTTACTTTCCATCTCATTATATATAGATTATTATATATTTCCCCATCTTCCTATTGATCTATCCATCTATCATGTAACTAGTAAGCAATCTCCACGTGGGCCTGTGTGTGGAATAAAAGAGGGAGGAAAGCCCATCATGTACTTTGCCTGTCTTAGGGTGTTCCTAATCCTTTGAATTAGATGATATCAACCTCTTCCAATTTTTTTCTCATAATTTTACCTCAAGCCTTGTGTTTGTTTGGTTTTCCAACTACCTTAGAAGCCTCTTCCATCAGGATCCAATCAGCTGGCTCATGTTTATCTCCTGGAGCAGCCCAGGGCTTGGTCTTTGGAGTCCTTCTCTTCTTGGTTATACTAACTTTTCAATGATGTCATGGAGCCTCATGGCTGTAATATTATCTACATGCACTATTGATACATAACATTTCAAATTTGCATTAGACTTCTCTACCCAACAGCCAGCTCAAATCTCCACTTGGACGAGTAGCAGGCATTTCCAAATGTTCACGCTGAACTTCAGACCGTTTTCACTAAACTGCTCCTCTTACAGCACTCCCTGTCATGTAAAAGCAACTCCATTTGCTCATGCCAAGAACCTGGGAGTAACAGTTGACTCCATTTTGTCACTTCTACCAGGCAAGTGACACATCAGTCAATCTAATCAGCCCCTCTATAAAAATACATCCAGAGGCTAGCAGCCATTCATTACCTGTTCTGCCATCCCTCCAAACCACTGCCATCTCCCGTCGGGATTACCGGACTCTGTCCTACCATCTTTGGCCCCCTACAGTAAATAAAAAAGACAGCTGCCAGCATAATCTTGTTAAAAAAAAGCAAGCAGACCATGTTCATTCTCTGCTCAAAGCTCTCTAGTAGATATTTGTTTTATTTAGAATACAATGAAAGACCAACGGCTACCAAGGCCAAACCTTGCAAGATCTCACGTCCTAACACTCTCCTGTTGGTGACATGCCTGATTCTGCCCCACTCCCCTCCAGAGGATCTTACACATGGCTTTTGCCTGGATGCCCTTTCCATAGATGTGCGCATGGCTCCTCTATCAACTCCACGAAGATCCGGGCTTTTGTCTATTTTGTTCCCTGCTGTATGTATCTCCACTACTTAGAATTATGTAGTATTTGCCAAGAAAATATTTGTTGAGTGTATCATGAGGAAACTGAACAGGTTAGGTAAATCATTCCAGAGTTACAACCTACTATTTGGCAGATTTGGAAATTCAATCTACATCTGGCTGAAACCATACTCACATGACATGACATAAATGGGAATATTCTCGCTTTTCTAGTCTCTGAATTTATCTCTTTCTTGAAGCTTTAGTAAAACCACTTGTAAAATCATTTAGGTTAGTGTTTTATTTGTTGGAATATTTAAGGAATCAAAGTTTTGTTGTGTATTCTGATTATATATTATATCATGTACACAAGTTTACAAAGGTTTTATCTAATTGTCTATGGAGTCTTTCTCATACGTACTGACACTTCATATTTACAAATGGACTTTGTCTTACGTTCCCTTTTGTTTGCTATGACTATTGCGGCAGTAGTATCCTTTTGGTTGTATTTGCCTAAAAATTTCTCCATCATTTTACAATGAAACCTTTTGTGTTTTTCAAGCACTAAATGGATAACCATACTTGGCAGTGGGGTACAGACCTTTTCTAGCTTTACTAACATTTTTCTTACCCATTCCTGTGAGAATATCTTCAGGAGCTAAACCCATGAGTACACGTTCTACAGATTATGTTATGAATATTTTTAATTTGACTCAGCATTGCCAAAGTGCTCTCTTGAATGCCTGTCCTGGTCTACATTCTCCCAAGCAGAGAAAGTGGATTTGCCTCTATATACCTCCATTCCTGCTAACATTTGACATTTTCCAGCTCTCTAAATTTAATCTGTGTATAGCGATGTATCATTTTTGCTGTAATTTGTATTTCTCTAATTTCTGTTGAATTTGAGCGCCTTTTCTTTTTTCTTTTTTTTTAATTCTAGATTTTCTTTTCTGAAAATTATCTTCTTTACCTTTTTTTTTTTTAACTTCAGTCTCAGTAGAGACTGTCAAAAATTGCCAGTGCCGACCATATTTCAAGTCATCATGGTGGGATATTGGGAAAAGTTTTCAATTAGCAATAATCGCGCCTTGGATGAACCCCACTGGCTATGATACTGCCACTGTGCAAAGCTTCTTTACCCATTTTTAAAGGAGAGTAATTGTTCTCTTATTATTGCAAGATTTTACTGGCTATTCTAGATATTAATCCTTTCCACTTGGGCATTAGAACTATATTCTCTCATTTTGAAATGTTTCTATAAACCTTGAAATGGGTATAAAGTTTTAATTATACAAGCTTAATGAGTTCTAGAGATCTGCTATGCAACATAGTGCCTATGCTTTATAACATGAAATTGTGCACTTCAAAATGTGTTACAAGGGTGGAGCTCATGTGACGTGTTTTTACTACAAAAACAAAGGAACACAAAGCAACTTTGGGAGGCGTTGAATATGTCTGTTACCTTGTGGTGCTGGCATTATAGGTGCTTGCATAAAAGCAGACTCATCAAGTGCACATATTACCTATGTGCAGTTCTTTGTATATCAATTATACCTCAATAAAAGTGTTAAAAATAAAGATAACTTACTTTTATATTACCAAATTCACCATTGTTTTGGTTATGTATACTTTCAAAGTTTTCTTTAATAAATGTTCTTCCTCTTTATGTTCACATTTTCTCCTACAATATTTTCTATTAATTTTGAAAATTTACTTTTATATTTGAGTCTTTTTTTAAGTTTTTAAACATAGACTTTACCTTGTAATCTTTTAACAAAATTTATAGATTTAGAGGTACAAGCACAGTTGTGTGACATGGATGTGTTGTGTAGTGGTGAATTCTGAGCCTTTAGAGTATCCATCACCCAAATAGTGTACATTGCACTCAGTAGGCAGTTTGTCCTCCCCAAGCCCCTTCCTTCCCTCCCACCTTTGGGAGTCTCCAATGTCTATTATTCCACTCTGTTTGTCAGTGCGTACCCACTGTTTAGCTCCCACTGTAAGTGAAAACGGAAGTTTTTTGACTTTCTGTTTCTGGGTCATTTCACTTAGGAAAATGGATTTCTGTTCCATTATGTTGCTGTAAAAGACATAATTTTATTCCTTTTAATTGGTAAGTAGTATTCCATGTGTGTGTGTGTGTGTGTGTGTGTGTGTGTGTGTGTGTGTATGTGTGCGTGTGTGTGTGTGTGCTCTATTTTTAAAATCCTGTTAACTGTTTGATAGACACAGGTAGATTCCCATGTTTTTGCTCTTGAAAATAGTGCTGTAATAAACATATGAGTGCAGGATCCTTTTTGATATAATTTTTTTTTCTTTTGGGTATACACCCAGTAATGGAATGCTGTATTGAGGAGTAGTTCTACTTTAGTTATTTCAGAAATCTCCATATTGTTTTCATAGAGGTTGTGCTAATTTATATGATCATCAACAGTGTATAACTATTCCCTTTTCTTCATGTCCTTGCCAACATCTGTTGCTTTTTGACTTTTTAATAATAGCCATTATGACTGGTGTGTGATAGTATCTTATTGTGGTTTTAATTCGCATTTCTTTAATGATAAGCGAAATTGAACATTTTTTTTTTGAGACAGAGTTTCACTCTTGTTACCCAGGCTGGAGTGCAATGGCGCAATCTTGGCTCACAGCAACCTCTGCCTCCTAGGTTCATGCAATTCTCCTGCCTCAGCCTCCTGAGTAGCTGAGATTACAGTTGTGCGACACCATGCCCAGCTAATTTTTTGTAGTTTTAGTAGAGACGGACCATGTTGACCAGGATGGTCTTGATCTCTTGACCTCTTGATCCACCTGCCTCGGCCTCCCAAAGCGCTGGGATTACAGGCGTGAGCCACCGCGCCCAGCCTGAACATTTTTTTAATGTTTGTTGGTTGCTTGGATGTCTTCTTTTGAAAAATATCTATTCATTCTTTGCCCACTTTTTAATCACGTTATTTAATTAATTTATTTATTTTTGTTCTTGGGCTGTGTAAGTTCCTTATAGATCCTGGAGATTAGCCCTTCGCCAGATGCATATTTTGCAAATATTTTCTCTCATTCTGTAGCTTGTCTGTTTACTTGGTTGATTATTTCTTTTGTTGTGCAAAAGATTTCTAATGTAATTAAGTCTCATCAATCTATTTTTATTTTCATTGTGTTTCCTTTTGAGGACTTAGTCATAAATTCTTTGCTGAGGCCATGTACAGAAGAGTAGGTTTTCTTCTAGGATTTGTATAGTTTCAGATCTTATGTTTAAGCTTTCAATCCATCGTGAGTTAACTTTTTTTTTTTTTTTTTTTTGAGACAGAGTTTCGCTCTTGTTACCCAGGCTGGAGTGCAATCTCCAGCGTGATCTCGGCTCACCGCAACCTCCGCCTCCTGGGTTCAAGCAATTCTCCTGCCTCACCCTCCCGAGTAGCTGGGACTACAGTTGTGCGCCACCATGCCCAGCTAATTTTTGTATTTTTTAGTAGAGACGGGGTTTCACCATGTTGACCAGGATGGTCTCAATCTCTTGACCTCCTGATCCACCCGCCTCGGCCTCCCAAAGTGCTGGGATTATAGGCATAAGCCACCACGCCTGGCCTGAGTTAACTTTTATATATGGTGAGAGATGGTGGTCCAGTTTGATTTTTCGGCATATGGTTAGCCAATTTTCCCAGTACCATTTATTGAATGCGGTGTCCCTTCCTTAGTGCATATTTTTGTCCACTTTATCAAAGATCAGTTGGTTGTAGGTATGTGGTTTTATTTCTCGATTCTCTATTCTGTTTTATTGATCTGTGTGTCTATTTTTAAGCCAGCACCATGCTGCTTTGGTTATAGATTTAGCCATGGTTAACCTTCTATATAACATTAGGTTGGAAACCATCTTTATTTTTCTCTATTAGGTGAACTAATTTTCTTGACATTATTTTAAACTACCTGTCTTTTCTCCATTTAATTCTGGTGGCATCTTTACCAAGTGTGAAATTTGTATATACTTGTAAGTCAATCTCTGGCATAGCTAACCTGTTTAATTGGCCTATTAGTCTGCTCGTGATGGTCTCTCTCTCTCTCTCTCTATATATATATATATATATATATTAATAAGACTTTGCAATATGTCTTCACAACTGGCAGGGAAAGCCTTTCCACTTTACTCTCATTTTGCCACATTGACTTAGAGAGTCACCAATAACAATGATAAACTAAATTTCAGTCCTTTTCTTTGCACGTATTTTATACACATAAAAATTAGCATTATATTTTCACATGTTTTAACTGAATTTAGGTCACACTACCCATAATTTAGAGGTTCCTTTTCTCATGATTTTTTTTTTCCTGTTTCATTTGGTATTCTTGCACATGTCTGCTAATCACTCTCTTGAATTTCATCATAGTTTATATGTTCCATATTTTAAAAACCAATTTCTTATTGGCAGCCATTTAGACTGTTTCCAATTTTTCACTATTATAAATTATCCTGTAAAGAACAGTATTGCACATGCATCTTTTTAAATATCTGTGATTGATTCCTTAGGATAAATTGCTAGAAACAAAACTTCTTCATCAAAGTGTATGCTATTTTTTGAGGCTTTCTCCGTGTGCTGCCTAATTGCCCTCCAGGCAGTTCATACTAAATTATACTTTCATCACAAGAGTATATGAGTGCCTATTTCCTTGTACTGCACAATACTGAGAATAATTATTACTACAATTGTTTTCTACTTAAGTAGGAAAAATAATATAATTATTACTAGATGTTGAATATTTTAAGAATGTTTTAGCCACTGTAATCACATATGCAGATTTCATTTAGATTTTGTGTAGTTTTTTGTACAAGAATTACTTTCTGCATTTTCATTTTTTCATTTACATATCAACAACACTTAGTTATGCAACTCTATGCTTGACAGATATTGCTCTGAGCCAGTCCATTCTGGCTATGCCTCCCAATCCTGAATGATTTGATGGGACTTATCCCTCATTGTAGTGGAGTACATGTGAATCATTCCTCTTCTTGAAAGCTGAAACACTCTCCTCCGCTCTACATGGCCATGGATGACAACAGGTAACTGGGAATAAAATACATTGCTCTCAGTTGTTCTCTGTAAAGCTCTGTAGACATCAATAGTTTCCTTGGGCAGTGAGTGGCTAGAGGAGTCTGAGCCTCATTTTATTTACTTATTTATTTTATTACTGGTAACTTTTTCCCTTTCCTCCATGTCTATCCTTAAAAAAACACAACTTGGAAATAAGAAGTACCAAAATATCTATGGAAATATATTTGTTTTTCTCCATTTTATATTAATGATCAGTTATCTTCTTCGACTTACATAGTCTCTGTTCAGCTCAGGAAAGTTATCTTCAGTTCATCTTTCCAACCATTAATCCATTCATCCATCCATCCGTCCATCTATCCATCAATCCATTGTCCATCCATCCATCCATCCACAATATTTACTGTGCACCTACACTCTAGAGATACCATAAGGCAGAGTTTCTCCACCTCAGCACTGTGGACATTTGGAACCGGATATTCTTTGTGGTGGGAGCCCTACCTGCGCACGGTAGGATGTTTAGCAGCATTTCTGCCCATTGTCAACTAGATACCAGTAGCATCCCCTCTCTCCCCAAGTTGTGTCTGGAAACATTTTTTGTTTCCAGACATCCAATGCCCCTTTATGCCACATCCAGAACCACTGCACTAGGGAACGAAACAGACAATGTGCCTGCTGCCCTCATGGGGTAATTTAGAAGAGATGTAAGATCAGCGAACGCACTAACATATAGTGTGTTCTTGTAAGAACAGTGCTGTGAAGACTAGCAGAGCATGCAGGTAAAAGAGGGGGTCCCTGGGAAGCGCATGCAAGGAGTGAGTGTAGGGGAGACCAGGAGGAAGTGGGTGAGTGGGTCAGGGAATGAGCAGGGCAGGGTTCCTCAGCAGGCTGTGTGCTTGGTGGGACCCATGAATGAAGGCACCCTTGTGGCTGGGCCTAACGAGTGATCAATGGGTGAAAGGTCAGAGAGGAAGCAGTAGCCACACTGTGGATGTCCTTGTGGGCTGGGCAGGGGTTTTGATTTTACCCTGTGTGAGAAGGGAAACCACTTTGGATCAGGAGAGCTGCCTTGTTATTTCTTCGATTATTTGCC